GTCATCGTCTAACTCGTCAATTCGCATAAGTCGTCATAAAAGTCAAAGTCCCGATTTTCTTTCATAGTAAATCCATTGGAATAACCCTGCATAAAGTCGTCATTTATAAGCCGTCATTATGACTATGAGCAAATCGTTGCCCTCAGACAGGTCCCATGATCATGTATTGATGTAATACAAATAACAGTAATTTCCCATATCTGTAAGTCGTCATCAGAAATGCTGATGGCGCAGTGTCCAGGCACAGTGTACAGAAATAAACCGTACCAGTACAGTCTAGGGGATGTGCAAGCTGGCTGTCACAGATATGCGCTGTAGATCGCTCAACTGAGTTTACATGAGTTGTTGCTCACTTGCTGTGTGCATTGATTGTTTAATTCACATTGTTCGCTTGGTCGCATTGTTTTTTTTAGCTCGCAGCTCGCATTTTTTAGCTCGCACATTCCCCAGATTCCCCAGTGTATGCAGCCTAATGCACTGTGCGAAATTAACGTGGGTCCGGAGTCAAATACTCCCAGATTTACTGTCGGACTCCCTGATTTGAAATATGCAGGACTGGAGTCCGTGAGATATTCTGCTTTATTATATGACTGTCATTTTTCCCACACGCTGATTGGTCAAAACCCCTCTTATAGGTCTAAATATATTGCGATGTTCCACCGAAACCTACAGAATCCGTGCACGCGAGGTGAATATAACAGTCCAAAACCCCGTCGGGCGCCTCGCAGGTGAATATTATAATCCAGGAACCTGTGCTGCAATTTTTGACCAATCAGAAGCGCGGATTGTCGTTGCCTCACTGGAGTGAAAATGGCAGACGACAGTGTAAACCATAGCAAACCCGGCTTGACAAGATTTGGAACTGTTTCCGATGACCAGCTTAAAACTAAGTATGGATTGGTGCTACACATGGTTAAGTTTATAAAAATGTCATATAATAAAACAGTTATTGACCTATTTTCAGGTGAATACGAGGATTTATTAACCCGAGACGGTGATATTTCCCGAGGCCGGAGGCCGAGGGAAATATCACCTTCGAGGGGTAATAAATCTTCGTATTCACCTGAAAATAGGTCAATTGTATAATACTAACTAGTTCGTTTCAGAGGACGGCCTCGCGGAATTATAAGCTTATTAATATTATGCTTCTGTTCCTGCAGTTTCGGTGAAGTCTACTGATGTTCAGGTGGTACCAGAGAGTAATAGTGAATCTGTTAAGCTTGACCTGGCAGATGCAAAACGTGAATAATATGACTGGATGAAACATGGTCTTGAACATATCAGTGATGTGGAACTGTGCAATACGAGTTCACTTACATGGTCTGCTTATCACGCCACTCGACAACAGCCAACATCAGAGCGAACAGCAATATGTGCACTGCTCCCTCTCTTCTATCAAAAATCAGACACACCAGCAATGATTAAACATGGCATGGATGTACATCGACAGGCAACAGAGTATCTCAACCCAGGACAAATCACAGTGATTACGTTTGACCAGCCTCTGTTCACGCTCACCAAGTACGTACAATAGAAATGGCCAGATCTCTATGGCGAGAAGGTCTATGTAGTTATGATGGGCAGACTGCACATTGAGAAAGCGCTATGGAACACTGTTGGCAATTTATTAGATGGGTCAGGTTGGACGACAGCTCTCACTGAATCTAAAGTTCATCTGGAACAGCCAATTCATTTCTGAAAGTATCACACATTACCAGGACTCGGCATGCCCACCAGGTCACTGTTCTTGTTCTTCAGAGGCTACTGAATAAAGCATTCAACCAGAGATCTAATGTTGATGAGAGTTTCAGCAACTGGCTGGAACAAATGTGTAATTAATCTCCCACGTTCAAGTTCTGGCACATGATCGCACACTATGAGATTCTGATTCTCATATTTGTTGGAGCCCATAGGGAGAGAAACTTCCCATTGTATGTTACTGTATTAGAGGCACTCGTACCATTGTTCTTCGCGTTAGACCACGTGAACTATTCTCGTTGGCTGCCTGTACACATCAGAGACATGAAGGTGCTGCCACAAGAGATCAAAGAGAAGTTTGAAACTCGGAATCACTGGACAATCGCAAAGTTGTTACACAGATACTCTGCGATCCCAATAGACCAAGCGCATGAGCAGGAGAATAAAGTGGTGAAAGCATCCGGTGGTGCAGTAGGACTCACTGAGAATCCAGTTGCCTTCAGACACTGGATGACCGCTGGACCCGAGCTTGCCAGACTTCTGAGTCAGTACGAGAATGGATATCTTCATGACGATGATCCGGAAAACCCCGCTAACTTCAAACACCATAAACAGGGACTTGCAGCACAGAAAACCTTTCAGCGACAGGTTGATAGCCTATCTAACACAACACGCAAGATGGAAAATCTCTTCCTGGATGACTTCCCAGAGTTGGTAACTCTTGATAGTCGTAACTGCGCGAATGAGGCGGTAGTGAATACAATCCGTACACTGGAAGACACTGGCACAAAGAACTATCAAAAGTATGTGAAGACCGTGCTCGTGGATTGGAGTCACTCCATACATGATACGATCTCAAAGAATTCACTACCCCTGTTCTCAACAAAGCTCAAAGTCAGATCAAAGGATTGCAAGAAAGTAAAGGTGCTTGAGAACAATGTGGCACTCTTCGGCCAGTTATACATCTTAATTCTTACAAAATAGAGATGGTGACATCAGTGAATTTTTGCACACGAAGTTCATTCGTATCCTCCATCCCTGTCTGAGTTTGGAAAGCTTAATCTGTCTGGTACCAAATGTCATCTGTTACAATGTATCGAGGAACCAAACCAGACAGAGGCACCTGTATTAGATTACTGCAAAGTTCTGGATGGTGCGGTGACAGTACATGCATTGTCTGTAACAAATGTCTCAACATTCCAGGAATATGCTGACAACGTGTTTATACCCCATTTGGAACGTCAGCTGCGTGACACAAAGTGAGTGGATGTTGTGTGGGACGAATACCGGCCAGATAGCTTGAATGAGGGAACCAGGGAGAAACGAGGCAAAGGTGTGCGTAGAAAAGTATCAGGTGACACCAAGCTGCCGGGCAACTAGAATGACTCTCTATTATCCAATCAACAAGAAGGAACTCTTTGAATTCCTGTCGGCAAACTTTGCGGATTGCAGCATCCCTCATGAGTGTTCGGTATATATCACAGCTGGAGAGCATGTTGCATGTGTTGGAACGCAGATCGAAATGTCCAGCTGCAATCAGGAAGAAGCAGACACTATGATTGTGGTTCACGTGAAGCATGCTTTGGAGAATGGAGCAAAATCCATCCAGGTGCGAACTGTGGACACAGACGTCGTTGTTGTTCTCACCGGTGTGTTTCATGACCTCTCTCAGATAAATGCTGATCTTGATCTCTGGGTAGCGTTTGGAACTGGAAAGAACTACACTCATTACAGCATCAACGCCATTTGTGCCCGTCTTGGTGAACGTAAATCACGTTTCCTGCCCGTTTTCCACTCCTTGTCAGGATGTGATACTACATCGGCGTTTAGAGGCAAAGGGAAGAAATCGTTCTGGCAGGCATGGAATGCTTATGAGCAAGTTACTGATGCATTTGTTTATCTTGCCGCACATCCGTTTAAGCATCTTGACTTACATTCTAAATCATTTCAAAGAATCGAGAGACTAGTTGTCGTAGTTTATGACAAAACAAGTAACGAGATGAATGTTAACAGTGCTCGGATGGAGCTGTTCAGCCAGAAAAGCCAAGCTGTTGACAAGATACCACCTACTCAGAATGCACTACTCCAGCACACTAGGAGGGCAGTATACCAGGCTGGCATCTGGACAACATGCATGTTATCTCAACAAACGAATCCATGTCCAACCGACTATGCGTGGATGAAAGTTAGAAACTCGTGGGAACCTGTCTGGTCTACCATTCCAGAGGCGTCTAAAACGTGCAGAGAATTTGGAAAATGTGGCTGCAAAAAGGCCTGTAAAGTCTGCAAATGCAGAAAGGCAAATTTGCCTTGCATATCTCTTTGTCGGTGCACATGTTCATCCAAATAGGATACATTGACTGTGAACTGTCTGGTAGAGATACATTGTATTAAAACATTGTAGATAGAATTCCTAAATACTACCATGCACAGTATATGTACTTAACATGTAGGCTGATATGTAGCTATAGAAGTCACAATAA